CTACAGAAACAGCATCTAAATTTTATACCAGAACTTAGTCATAATAAACAATATATGTTTTTGAATCAATACACACACAGTGTGTATTGATTTAAAAAATCACACTCAGCCAGTATTAATTTTTTGAAATTTTTTTTTTTTTAATTTTATTTGAATTTTTATGCTATATTTTTCTATACAATGTTCTTATATCCGAAAATATTGTTGGCTTAGCATAGGAACAGCCACAAATAGTCATTAAGACTAATCCAAATTATCCGTTATTGACCAACATTTTTGCGTACCGAAGTACTACTCAAGCGCTGAGTTGGCGGTGGCAGGATTTGAACTTGTATCTTACAACTTTTCGGATTTAAACTTTTTGTTCGACGCTCTAACCAACTAAGCTATATAGCCAAATGAATTATAAACTTATATTTCCCTAAGTTCAGATTTAAAACAATAACTCTATAACTTCGAAACACAAAAATAATTCAATAGAATACATGTCAAATACATTTGTGTATAGTTTTTGCATGTGATATATATATATATATATATATATATATATATATATATACATATATATATACATATATATATATATATATATATATATATATATATATATATATATATATATATATATATATATATATATATATATATATATATATATATATATATATATATATATATATATATATATATTTATACGACTAGAGAACATAAAAAAATAACGTAATAAACACTAGTATTACAGATCATAATGCTTAAAAACCAGATAAAATAAAATTTTTTCGATAACGGTTTTCCAACCATTTTAAAATGCACAAGTTTTTTTTGTTTATAGTTGTGTTTACGTTGGAATCCTGACGTTACATTGATGACCAAAGTAAAAACGTAAATAAAGCAACGTTGTTCCAAAGTCGTTCTAATGTTAATCAAACTAACTTTAGTTCAATGTTAAACAGCCAACGTTGTTCCAACGTTGTTTTAAGTTAACATTTAAGACGTAAGATGTTAGCGTTATTTTGAACTTGTTCCAACGTTTGGTAGACAACGTTAGAATAACACCGTTATACCGACGTTGGAACATCGTTGGAATTTAGTTAACTCGCGTCGCGAACAAAATCCAATCAAATTACAACAACGGCTCGGTTTAATAGATATGATTCAAGTTTTTTGAATCAATTTTTACTTTCAAGTGTTTACAAGTTTTTTAGATATGAAACATGAAGATACTATTGAAGAGTTTTTATTTATCTTTCATCAAGTAAGCAGAGTAAACTAACCAGAGTGCAAATGCTTATTTATTTATAATAAATATTATTTTATTTAGATAGCTCTATTATAATTTTCATTGTATATACCTGTGGTTAAGTATCAATAGATTCAAAAAATAATCGACTTTTATTGTTGATTGATTTTTGATTCCTTGACACATAAATTTGAAAACTTGGTACAAAGATTCTGAAAAATAGAGAAATCAAGGCTACAAAGAAAAATAGCTTTATGCTCTTGGTAAGTAAATTTTTAAAATTATCTTAATTTTGGAATATTGTTATTGTGAACAAAAAAACAATTGTCCACTGATTGGACAATTGTAAATCAAATTACATTTCTAGTTTTCTTTTTCTTTTTTGCATTCTTTTTTAGGGGTTAAATTTTAGTTCAAAATTTTAGAAAACCACTTTTTTTATAAGAATTTTCAAAAATTCGTTTAGAGGAATTGAGTATGTTTTCATTAGAGGAGTTTTGATTTAGCCGGTTATTTGAAATTTGGATTTGTTTTAGAATTTAGGGTTAATGGTTTTAATTAATAATAATATATAATATACTGCATATATTTTAGATTTAAACAATTGAATTTGCTAAAAGCCACACAGTTATTCCGGAAGTTATTCCGGAAGAGACAATCTGTATAATAAAACATTACAGAAAAACATTACTTTATTTTAATAAAGAAACTTAAAAAATAAGAAAAAAGATAACCATACATGACATGACTGCTTTGATGTAACAACCCAGCAAACATTTGGTTTAAAAAAGACGTTTTTAATATGCCTAAAAGAGGTCTTTTTTAGACCAAATGTTAGCTGGGAATGGGCAATTATGATGGAACAAATACTTGTAAATTTGTTGGATAGTATATTTTTAGTTTTTAAATAGTATATTTTAGGTTTATTAACTAAAATAATCTGTATTAATTATTTAGTTCTTTATCGTGATGATGGTTTAACAGTAATGCCAGGCTTGTGGAGTTTGAGCAACATTTTTAGATTAACAAAGTTGTGACTCCGACTCCAGTAGTAAAGCCTCTATGTATTGCGTGTGCTTGTTCAAAATATTTAACCTTCAAAGAATTTTTCATATAATTTTTTAAAAAAAAAATTTTTAAATTATTGCGTAATATTTTTAGAAAAAATTCAAAGATTTTTTCAAAAATTTCGTTTTGAAGTCCGAAAATTCTGAAAATTTTAACGATTCTTTTTTTTTACGGCTCCACACCCCTGTAGTAATGCGTAAAAAATCTGGTCCACAGCTTGATAAAATTAGAAAAGATACTATAAAAATTTTTAATATTGGCTTGAATGTGAACTTTTTAATGTCACATCTAACCTCTCTGAAAATTCATATGAGCCTATTAAAAAAATACTGTATATTAATATTAACTCAAATGATGAATTATTGTATATTAATATTAACAAATATTACCCAAAATTTGATCCCGAAAAAAAGAATACCAAAAAGGGAAAGAGGACTGGAAATGTAATTTGGTTTAACCCCCATATAGCAAAAATGTTTCCACTAATATAGCAAAAGTGTTTTTAAAATTTGTTGATAAGCATTTCCTGCCCTCTAATAAATTACATAAAATTTTTAATCGAAAAACAATTAAAGTTAGATACAGTTGCACAAGAAGCTTTTAAAGAACAATTGTCAACAATTATATATATATATATATATATATATATATATATATATATATATATATATATATATATATATATATATATATATATATATATATATATATATATATATATATATATATATATATATATATATATATATATATATATATATATATGAGTTGAAGTATATTTTTTTATAGAAAAAAGTTGAAGCAACGACCAAAAAATCACCATATATAAAAGAAACATCGTTGTTAAATTTGAAAAAAAAATTCAAATTCCTACATTTAGAAGTTGAGTAAATTGATTTTGAAAAAATAAACAAATTACTTTCAGCTTGTTTATCTTTTTTAAAATTGAAACTTAGTTATCAATTGACTGATTTACTTTAATTATAAAATAAAAATAAAAAGTGTTTATTAACAAATCAACAACAAAAAGATTGTCACATAAAATGTTTTTAATTTTTGCGTCAATTAATTGAAAAGTTTTAAATTAATTGACGCATGCGTACCTAAACATAGCGCATTTTCCTAATATCGAAACGACCGTGCATACATCCTTTGACCTAAACACGATATAAGTTTAAGCAAATAAAGAAATTTTTTAATAATAAAAAAATAATACAAGTTTTTTTTGTGATTGCATTTAAAGATTTTTAGAGATTGATTAGCAAATTAACAAATTGATTGATTAGCTAATTAATAAATTTTCTCAATATTGTAACAAATTAAAAGAAAGTAATAATAAATTTATAAAAATATTTTATTTTATAGTAAATACTATGACCAACTTACAATGAAGGTCTTTTTTATTAAACAGGCAACACCCAGTGCACATAGAATGTTCGTTGGACATCTTGAAGACGTCCTACAGTCATGTGACGTCTATGAGACGTCGTATTGTCTTAAAGACGTCTGAGACCGCCTGAAAAACGGCAACATTTGGAAAAATGAGCTGGCTAAAAATAGTAAATCAGTTGTAACTAGAATCTTTAAGATAACTTTTTTTATATGACTTTTTATTTTCTTTGTAAAGTAAAAAGGAAGCAATTCTAAAAGTAAATCCTCAATGCGCAAGCGCAAACCTTTACAATAATACAATGAAGGAAGAAATGATCAATTAGGAAGACAAAGTGTATTTTTTGGTACTTTCTGATAATGGGCTCTGAAAATAAAAGCCAATTCGTCAACTTACCCCTCTGCCAACTCCCCTAACGGCTCTAAAGAAGTTTTGAGTCATTAATGACTTAAAATAATGATAATTATCATTATGGAGAAAAATTGTTTTAACATGAGGTAGAAAACTGGCTATGTTCTACCAGAATAAAAATTAAATTATGCAACATAAGTTAAAAAATAACTTTATACATACGTACTCTTAGCAAAAAGAAAAGTTTAAAAATGATTTTGTTAAAAAAACAAACCTTTGATTATTATTTAGAACAGAAAAATAATCGAATGTTTTAAAAATTAGTTTTGATTCAAAGACTAAAAATTGTCAAAAGATTCAGAATAAAAATATATTTGCAGCAATTAATTTTGTAGGATTAATCAAGTTAACACCCTTTTTTAATTTTGTAATATATATTTAATGACAATTATACTGCAATTTTCACTGTCCAACCCTCTCCATTGTTTCCACATTTTTATTTAATTACTTTTTTTTACTCCCTTACCTACTTTATATTATTTTACATATTCTCTTCAATCTAAAAAAAAAATGCTAAACTGCTTTTTTCAGACATACGCCATTGGGGATTATTGGACAAACAGTATCAAGTGTTATCAGAAAAACGCCTTCGTGATATGAGTTTTAATAAACTTAAATAATTTTTTTTCTTATAAAAGATTAATTAAAAAATATCCTCAAGAGAAATATTCTTGCTTTAGGTTAATTGAGATTTACTTTATTTTTTACAGTTTTCAATCACAATAAGATAGATTAGTACAAATAGACGCTGCAGGGGCTTGAGTTACAAATTTGATACAAGGCCATCTTAGCGCTCACACCAAACCTTTAGATTAAAGCTTATAACTGTTTCAAAGGTTCTTACAAACAAGTGGATACATGATACTCTTTTGGTTCTAACAAACAAGAGGATACATTATACTATTTTTTTTTAAATAATAATCTTTGATCGATAAAACCTGAATGTTTCAATTTCGACAGCAAACATCACTTTAACGTATTATAAAAAATACAGTGTCTTTACCGTGCTTATGATGCCATAAAAAAACATTTATGTGATGCCGCAAAAAATATTTTTAATAAAGCTCATATCCCGTTGTGAATGGCCCTTCTGACTCATAATCTAGAAAATAAAAAGGTAGAGAATTGTTTACATTAGGGAAAAATATTTAATAAAAATATTATAAATATAAATAATTTATAGGGTAAGTAATTTTATTAAACAAATCAAATTAAAACATTAAAGCACTATTTACAGGCGAATTAGTAAACATGTTTTTTGTTGTTAATTTTCAAAAAAAAATACACGATACAAACCTAGTTTAGCTAATTAAATAATTTATTATAGTAAATAATTTAATAAAATTTCTTTTCAAGCTTTTTACAAATAAAAAATGCTTAAAAGTTGTTTGAAAATGTAAAAAAATAACTATCATGACGTATTTATGACGTTGATACTTAGTGAAGTTTTTAGATTATAATGTCTAATAATTTTGTCATTGTTAGAACCATCAATCAGTATAATAATGTTTTTATTCTCCTGCAAAGATGCCAACATTACAATAGGTTTTTTATTCTCCTTCAGAGATGGTGGGTCTATATTTAAAAAAGTGGCTCCTTTTAATTAATTTTTAAACGACATCATTAAGATAAAAAAAGTTTACTTAAAGTTGCAGAAATTCTGCAGTTTTAATCAGCAGTTGCATTTTTAAATAAAGATACACTTTCATTATTACTTTAAAAAAATGCTTCTGTTTACAACCATTAGCTTGCTATCATTTCTATCAGTTCACTTTTTGCTTGTAGAAAGTTCGTCTTGTTATAATAGCGAAGAAATACCGATATGCGATGAAAGTAAATGCCCCAAAACACCTAAATGTAAAGGTTAAGACTTGAATTTTAATTTTTTAAATAACCTTCAACCGTCAATTGTTGATGAATTAAAAACAGCAGGATTATTAAGATTGCAATATCTAACTTGTTTTTATAATATCTAATTTGTTTTTAAATCAGGTAATGTCGGTAAAGATGAATGTAACTGCTGTAAGGTATGCATGAAGCAAGAAGGCGAAATTTGTATTGTGAACAGTCAAAACACAAAATGTGATCATGGATTGTATTGCATCGAAACCCCAGAAAGTAAATTTTCAAGGTGCAACACTTTAAAAAACGGTAAGTTAAAATTTTTTAACTTTTTTTTTTAAACTTTTAATTCAGAAGAAAATTTAAGACCTCTAATTAGTTTTTTTATTATGCCTTACTTCACCAACACATATTTCAAAGTTAAGCAGAAACTTTCTTTTCAATTTTATTTTTGAAATTAGAATAACATGTTTAAAATAAACTTTTCAGCATTGATACATGAAACTGCGAAATACATCACTAAAATGAAAGCATGCAAAAAGTCCTTGGAGTATTTTAAGCAGCGAAACTATGACTTTATTTCATGCTTTCTAAATGTTACCGTTCCAACATTTTACTGCAAAAAAAGAATACTGTACAATGACAATGAGTAAGTTAGACTTTTCTAGTTACTTAAGAAATTTTGTCTTTGCTTTAAAAAAAAAATTTAAAGTTTATAAAGGTTTTTTTAATCATAAGTTTTGTATAGAAAAAATGTTTATGAGTAAAATTTTTTTTACAGCTGCTGCATCCATGAAAATGGTTGCCATCCAAATAAAGAACTGTACGATAAAATAGATTCTCCAATTAACTTTAGTGCTCTGATACAAAAACCAATTGATAAAGATAAAAAAACGTAAAAAAACAACTCCTTTGTAAAAGTTTTTAACAATTTTAAAATTGTGTGGGTATATATATATATATATATATATATATATATATATATATATATATATATATATATATATATATATATATATATATACACATACAATAAAAAAACTAAATGTACATATATAAATAGCAAATAAAAATATATATAAATAAAAAAAGTAGTTTTTTCACACAAATATCTTAAATATTACTATTATTATGATTAAATAAACATTATTTATATACTTTATTTATTTCAGTTATTTAACTATTCAATTATTGTCTTTTTTCATTATTATCACTATTTTAGTTTTAACAATATTCAATAATAAATCATTTATTAATGCTATAGAAAAAATATATAAACAATCAAAGCCGACTTTAGTTTATAAAAGAGGAAGTTACAAAAAATATTTAACTTCCTGCTGATACGCTTACGCGATACGATACGCTTAGATTATTACGTTTAAATCTCCCAAATCTTTTTTACTCGTATTCAAAATTTGAAATAACTGTTTAAACGAAATAAAACTTTAAAAAGTTTTGGAGGAATCGGCAGGATCTTAAAGCGCGATAGATATTGAACACAACTATCGTCTTTGATAAAATCTCTGTAAACTATGTATATGTACCCTTGTCAGCCGTGTTATATATGTCCAATGGCTTAAACAATTATTGTAAAATGTTTTTTTGTACTGTAAAAAATTTTGATTGTAAAAAATTTTGGAAAGTATTTTACTGCTTTGTAGTCTTTCGACGAGAAAATGTTAAAATGGTTTTATTTACACTTCTTTTTATGTTATTTATATAAAACCGATTTCATTCAAGTTAAAATAGAAACGGTGAATTATGGAGTTAAATAAAATACCTTGTTTCCTAACTAGGTAAGTGGAGCAGGCTTTTTTTTTCTTATCTCCATTATAGCTAACTCCTAATGGTTTAGCAACTCCTCAATCTGTACCATCGATAAATCCAAAACAACTATGTAAGAGAGATCCTTTTGGTGAATAAAATTGCAGTATTGTTTCATTTTTTATTCTTATTCTTTATTTGCCGTTAAAGAATATAAACAATCCATATATTAAATTACAACATGCATATATAAAAATTACGACACAAGTATATCTTGCTTTTAAAATAAAAAGCTGGAGCAACATAAACACAAGTAAACACATTTGGTCTTATCTCCAAGCTCAATAAATTTTTTTTTACATAAACGTTACATATAAAAATATACATATATATAAATTACAATTTGAAAAACGAGGGAAAAATAATTATATATGTAAAAAAATATTAAATAAAAAATAATTTAAAAAAAGCTAAAAAGCTTTCATAATCTTTAAGAAATATATGAACAAAAACTCTTGAATAATAAGCTCATGTATTTAATTTGTAACATCATCACTAGATAGATTAAGAATCTATCGTAAGATTCAATGCTCTAATTAAATCTACTTTAATTTGATTGACCTTGCTTAAAAAGAGACATAATATCCGCGGTATTTAATTGAACACGAAGTTAACTTTAAATTATATTTTGAAATAACAAATCCGTTGTCTATAAACATCGTTGAGTACTTATGATGAATTTCACTAAGATAAATTAAATACTTCAGAAGACAAGCCTAGTTTTTTTTTAAACATGGACAATAAAACTTGGTGTAAGATAAACATGAGCAATACTCGGTGTGACTTTTCGGAAAGAACAATTCTGAACGTGTTTTTTTTTTTTTAGTTTAGTTAATTTCAAGTAGAATTTTTTTAATTTTGTATGTTTAGTACTAGTCTGCGCAATATAAAGATATGGATTTAAAAATAGCCATTTCAATATGGTGAAATCAGTAAATTCATTTAATTTTCATATAAAAAGAGGAATTTTGAAATATTGGAAATTTGATATACAAACCTTTTTGATAAATTTTTTTAATTTAAAATATTATGCTTTATTTTTTATTTAATTTATGTTTATAGGAATTTATTCTGATTATTGTCTTTTACTCTAAGTATATAACTTATTTATTCATATTTTAACGGAGTTTTATATATATTTTTTTTTTGAACAGTTTTATTTTATATTAAAAACCCAAATAGGGGTTCTAAGAAAAGATAGTGTTGACTTTGGTCATCCGTATCGTCTTTGAGTCCCTCTTTGTTTATATAAATGTTTTTTTTTATTTTATTCTTTCAAATCCGTTATTATTTAATAATTATTTTAAAAATTTTATTATACATATATTTTGCTGTTCATACAATTAAAATAAAAAAACAAAAAAACGTTTTCAAATGCAAAGATAAAAACAAGTTAAAGTCAAAAGTAATCAAGTTATAAAGAAAGCATAGAAAGACACCGGTTATAAAAAGCTAACAAATTCTTTATCATCCTTTTCCGGTTAAAAATTTCCAGGATATCTTTTTTTCCGAATTTTTTTTTTAATTAATCGAATTAACTTCACTAAATGAAAAGTACTTAATTATCTTTTCCAGATAAATCTTTAATTACATTCAATATATTATATAGTGTTACTGTTGTATTTTTTTAAAAACTGATATAAATTTTTTTAAATAATTATATCACGTTGTTAGTGATTTTATCAGTGTTCATTTTATCATTAATTGCTTAATAAAAGAAAAGTTACATTCATTTTCCCAGCCATTTTCCCATCCAAGGTATAGTATTAATATCTACCTTTCACTATAATGCATAGTGATAAATAAACTTCTCAATAAAAATATAATGCAAACAAATAAAATCAAATAATAATTATTGACAAATAACAAGTATGCAATAGATATTAGAGGATTAAACAACTTATCTGATGTTTGTAGACTAGCCACGAGAAAAAAAACCCGCCCAAGTTTGTTTTATTTATACACTAAAATTTGTCTCGCTAAAAAAGCTGTTTTAATAAATTTTATTACATAGTGGATTGGGAAGTAACGCATTTCAAGTTACGTCATTGCTTTAAAATATAAACAAAAATTCTAAGCATGTAACTACAAATTTTGTTGCTAAAAGCAACAAAATTTGCCAAGGTTGAAGACGTTTTAGTTAGAAGTACAGAAAGTAATTTTATTGATTTTCATGAGCATAAAGGGGTGAAATTTCAATAATTTAGGGGGTATAACAAAAATTGAACGTTTTTCATATAAAACAAGTAAAAACAAAAAGAATAATGCTAAAAAAACTAACTTAAACTAAATTTTTTTTATCTATGCCCTCCAAAAATCTGATAAAATAGACATTTATTTATAAGTATGTAAAATTTCAATCATCAAGCATGTAGATTAAAATATCAAATCTTAATTGGCCCAAAACAGGTTTTCCGTAAAATACGCAAAAAACAGAAAAGGGATCCAAAATCATTTAAAATATTTTAACAATGTTTATTTTCATTTCGTTACATATAAATATTTATTTAACGAAGAAAGTTCTTTTATATTTTTTTAATTTGAAGATTAAAGCGTTTATAGAAAAAAAATACTATTAATTTAAAGTTAGTGAATTTTTATACTTTTTATGCGGAAATTCTTTTTTTTTTTTTAACACAAAAATTCTTGTGACGTCAAGCTCGCTTTTATACTGAGTGATTAGTTATTGAACTTTGTAAATTACTCTCGAGTGCCGAATACAACGCACAGTGACCCAGATAAACCTAAAAATGGCAAAACGTCCGAAAAAAAAAGTGAAAGTCTTATCGTTTTTAGACTTAAAATGTTAAAGTAAACTACTTTTTGGTCTGAAATCAACTTTAAATAATTTCACAGATATTTTTATTGCGTAATTTGAAATGGATATAAGTATAAAAATTAAATTTATCACCATAAAATTATGAAAATTTAAGGTATGGTTATCTTGTAAGTAACCCTGTTTTCCACCTCCATGCAAAACTTTATTATTATTTTTGTTAAAGTAATAAGTAGTTAGATATTAAAATTTATTTACTTTTTTTTTTTTAGATTAAAAAAACAAGTTCTTTTTAATTTTTCTTTCAAAAATTAAAATTTTAGTACACAAGTTTAAACATAAGTGCCAGCCAAAAAAAAGTTCCACGTTGTTCCACGTTCACTTTTAGTGAAAAAACCACTAAACTATAGCCAAGTAAACCCTACAGTATTTGCTGCAACTTCCTGCTCCTTAAGGTGATATTTTAAATTGATTCATGTATAGTTTTGTCAAAAGCAACACCCGCCTCTCCCTTTTCAATTTAAAAACAGTTTTCGGATGTTTGTGTAATAACATACAATCTAGTATTTACAGTCGACTCTTGATATCTCGAACACTAAGGGGACCGGAAAAAAAGTTCGAGATATCGAGAGTTCGAGATATCAAGAAAAGGGTTGAAAATAAATAAAATTGCCCGACTTTCATTAAAACAAGTTATTTTTCAGACAAAAATTATTAACAACAAAAACTACAACTTTTGGAAAAATCTGTTATCTGATATTGCTTTAAATTATCCATCTTTTCCATCTTCATTAAATCCTCAAGTTTTAGTGCTAGGGATTGTATTTCATTTCCGTATTTTGAGCTGTATAGCGAAGCATTTTGAATCGTTTCAAAAGCAATTTCTAATTGAATATCAGATGGGCGTGGCGGGGCTTCGACGTCAATAGCTTCGTCAACGCTATCTTCAACTTCATTATCGTCGTTTTCAAAATTAGGGTCTAAAATCTGAGCAATGATTTCAGCATCAGTAGCAAGTGACCGGTGGTTACTACATCGCAATCTGAACCAATGTAAAATTCCGCTGAGAGATCTTCTTGGACGGCTCGAGGATCTAACTCTCACAAACGGTTTAGTTCATCTGTCAAAAATTTAAAAGGATGATCATCATCAGCTTCTTCAATATTCTTGTTTGTTTTGCTGATACCAGCTTTTTAAAAGCAGTTGATGACAGTCTCCTTCGACACAGCATTCCATGAAGAAACAAGATCTTTCATTGCTTGAAGTATAGAAATTTTTGGCATGGGTTCGTTATTATCGACAGCCTTGATACACAAACGCACAATTTTGTGACGATAATGAGCTTTAAGACTTCGTATTACGCCTTGATCCATGGGCTGAAGGACAGATGAGGTGTTAGGGGGGAAAAATATTAGGTTGATGTTGCTTAGCCCTTCAATGTGTGGGTGGGCAGAACAGTTATCCACCAGGAGTGCTACTTTCCTGTGCTACTTTCCAAAATTTAACTGACCTTTCTTTCCAATTATGAAACCAACAATCAGATGCTTTAAAATTCAACTCTCCTAATGCTTCTTCGAATTTTAGTCCCTTTTCTTTTAGTATGGTACCATCAATTGTTACTTGTTGACTTCTTTTTGCAACGAACCACGTGTATATGGCCTTGTCTACATTTTTGAGATTACCACTTGAAATTACACGAAGTTTCTTCCGTTTAGATTTTGTGCCATTTTTTTCCAATGAGATTGAAAACTTGGTTTTATTTTTAATCCAGGTTGATAATGTGTTCTTTGGGACTCCATACTTTTTGGCAACCTCTTTGTTAGACATCCCTGTCTCTAGGTCTTTTAATGCCTTGCATTTTTCTATTATAGATTTGTTCGTGAGTTTTCGTTTAACGAGCGGCATGTTGTTGCGTTTGACAAAAAGAATAATTTAATATATTAAAGGAAAACTTTTCAAAAATTCGATTCTTAAAAAAAATCGAATTTAAAAATCGAATTAGATTTTTTTTTTTTTTCGAAAATTGGAATTTAAAAAAAATTAAATCTTATTAAAACATTTTTGAAAAAAAAAATGTTGAAAAGTTCGAGATAACAGAGAAAATTGCCGAACTGTGGACCGAAAATATTGTTCGAGATACCAAAAAGTTCGAGATATTAAGGTTCGAGATATCGAGAGGATTTTAGCCTAAACTAGTAAGTTAGGTCCATGGGACCGCTAAAAAAGTTCGAGATACTCAAAAGTTCGAGATATCAAGTATTCGAGATATCGAGAGTCGACTGTACCTTTTATTTTGAAAATTAAAGAAGTCTTATTTAATATAATTTGGTAAAGAAAAAATTAGGCTTTAAAAGTAAAATGAAAAGGTTGGATCTATTTTTAAAAATTCGCGAATCTGAAGCAAATAACGAAGCACTTTCTGAAATACTTATCGAATTTATCAAAAAATCCGAAATAATTCCTGAAGATAAACTTGGTAAACTAAATAGAATTGTACAGATTTTTATTTCGAAAGTAAAAAATAAGCTTAAAAAATATTGTAGAAACTATGAAAAGTTTTTAAAGTACGAAAACAATTGGCTGGGAAAAAATCTCATTGATTATAGTG